CTTGCTCAGCATTTTCAAATACATATACACAGCCTGATATTCTTGCCTTTGCTGTGTCTGCCTGGAACACTCCCACCATCCCACGTCCACCTCCTGATATCCTCCCAGTTTTCCAGGAAAGATAAATCCCACCTTCTCCATGAAACCTTCCCTAGTCCCTCAACCAGACATTCCCTCGCCTTTCCGTGACCTTCACACCATTGTATCTATCTTCTTTTTTGGTCATTAGTATATTTCCATCTGTACTCATCCTGTCTCCCTCAGTGGACTACAAGCTCTATGAGGGAAAATCATGGCTGACTCATCTTCCAATCTGCCATAGCTTGGAGTGCAGCAGCTTTTACAGAATAAACACTCACTGAATTAAATGATGACAACATAACCTTCTAGTGATCAAAATTCTCTGACTTCCAATGACCTCTGTTTTTTAAATTTTATTTTAGTTGAAAGATAATTGCTTTACAATATTGCATAGGTTTCTACCATACATCAACATGAATCAGTCATAGGTACACCTAGGTCCCCACCCTCTTGAACTTCCCTCCCACCTCCCACCCTTCTAGGTTGTTCCAGAGCCACAGTTTGAGTTCCCCGAGTCATACAGTAAATTCCCATTGGCTAGCTATTTAACATGAGGTCAGATATATTGTCAATGCTACTCTCTCCATTCATCCCACCCTCTCCTTCCCCCACTGTGTTCACAAGTCCATTCTCTATGTCTGCATCTCCATTACTGCCATGCAAATAGATTCAACAGTACCATCTTTCTAGATTCCATATAAATGCATAAATATACGTTATTTTTTCTCTTTTGGACTTACTTCACTCTGTATAATAGGCTCTAGGTTCATCCACCTCATTAGAACTGATTTAAATGTGTTCCTTTTATGGCTGAGTAATATCCCATTGTGTATATGTACCACAGCTTCTTTATCCATTCATCTGCTGATGGACATCTAGGTTGCTTCCATGTCCTAGCTCTTGTACATAGTGCTGCAATGAATACTGGGGTACATGTGTCTTTTTCAATTTTGGTTTCCTCAGGGTATAAACCTAGTAGTGGGATTGCTGGGTCATTGCTTTATTCCTAGGTTTTTAAGAAAGCTCCATACTGTCTTCTATTGTGGCTGTATCAATTTACATTCCCACCAATAGCGCAAGAGGGTCAGTGGCCTCTTCAAATGAATGCATCACATCAGAGTAACAATTTGACTTAGTTAGGATTATAAATATATTCTACTCCAATACAAACAAAAGTCTAGCAGAGCAAGTCTGTCATGTGAAAGTGAAAAGTGAAAGTGTCAGTCACTCAGTCATGTCTGACTCTTTGTGGCCCCATGGACTGTAGCCCACCAGGTTCCTCTGTCCATGCAATTCTCCCGACAAGACTACTGATATGGGAAACCATTTGCTTCTCCAGGGGATCTTCCAAACTCAGGGATCAAACCCACATCTCCTGCATTGGCAGGCAGATTCTTTACCATCTGAGCCACCAGGGAAGCCATATAAGTCTGTCATGCTTTATGCTACGTAATAATGCTAAGCAATTAAGCTTAGAAGTTAAAAGTGAACACAAAAATAAAAATTTTCTTATGATTAACTGCCACCAAAAATTTTCCACTTAAGAATAAGAAGATAACCAGTTAAATTTGGAAGGCTTTTAAAATACCAGACCCCAAGCCTCAGAAAAATTGATCCACTTAAATATTTTAACTGTTTGTTTTTATGGTAAGAAGTTGAAGCCATCAGTGCTAATCTCTTTATGGGAAGGTGATGCAGATCCACTAAAAACTCTTACTTTCTCCTTTGTGGTTGTTTTAAAAACAGTTTTATTCCTGCATAATTTATAATAAGAACCTAGAAACACTGAGTCAGATTTTCCCCATGTCTATCATTAAAATGTGGAGGCAGTGGGTAGAAAGCAAAGTGCATTCTCTTCTTGCATTCTTTGCAATAAAGCTTCTCAAAGAGCACTATTCTATATGGGCTAAATCATTTTTGATTTTAGGAACTAAAAGATACCAATTTGGCCACTCTTTATACTTTCTCTTTGAAGAAGCTGATATTGATGTATGAATTTCAAATATAAAGAATAAAAGGAAACTTTACTCCAAAAAACAGGACAAGAAAAAAGAAGATCTGGGAATCATACTGCAGTTTAACTCAAAATGAAATCTTAGCAATTAATCTTTCATTCAAGATCTAAATAGTAACAGACATGAGTAAAAAAAAGAAAATCCTGAAAAAAAGAAGTTATACATGAAAAAAACTGTGTTATAATTTATATATGTCGTTGGTCAAATGTAAAATTGCAAAGTGTGTATTAAATAGATATTTTAAAAAAAATTTTAAAGACCTAAATAGTGTATCTCAGCTTTGTAATACAAATTTTGTCCATAGTAGAATGATTCTCAGAGATGTAATTGATTCTTTTGAAAATCAGATGAAATATTAGACTGTCATTTCCTATAGGTGATAGGTATTAGAAATAAAATGTGCAAAAGATATAATTTTAAACACTGTATTTGAACATTATTCCAATATCATCAAAATCACTTGAATAATTTTTAGCAGAACATTGTCACTTTATTATCCCATTTAAACAGGATTCCTTTCTAACAAGAGAACATGTTTCTGGAAGTGCCAGTCTAGATACAATTAGAGAGTCCAGTGCAAGTAGAAGTAAATAAACCAGCTCTGTGCCCTAACCAGGAAGGTTCACTGCCAAAGATCACTCATCGCAATTAAGGCACAGAGTAAAAAAGTTGGAAATTTATCAGAAACATCTACAAGAAAATCATAATACAAATGGAGTTTATAAACCAACTACCCATCACTGTCATTTCTTCCTCTAGAAGAAAATACCTTGAACCATTACATTGAATACAGAAAAGATGTTGAACACTCCCTAGCAGTACAAGAAGACATTTAACATAATAGTAGATAGATTCAATTCTTTAAAATAATTTTGAAATCCCATGACAGCTTTTATCACTTGTGAATCTGCCTGCCAAAGTGAGCTTTGCCCCAGAAGGAGGTCCTGAGTCAAGGATCCAAGTCCAAGTCATTTATTTGGGGGGTTTGAGAAGCACTGGATGGGGAGTACAGATGTGATGCACAGGAGAAAGGGCAGCTTACAACGGATTGTCTCACCATGAGGGGAAAGAGCTGGGAAGCTTACCAGCCATTGATTAAGACTGCTTTTAGGGGTGGGAGGCCAGAGTGTTAATTCCTTGGCACCTGAAGCCTGCCTCAAGCAGGAGCCAAGCAGTCTCCCAGCCTAAGAGAGGACCTTCAGGCCAAGAAGACTCACAGACCTTCAGAAGGTCCTGGCCCTGGCAGTCCTCACCTTGAAAACGGGAAGCACCCAGAGTACAGCTGGCTCATTGAAAGCACTGTCCACCCAGCCTCCTCCAAAGAACTCCCTGCCCATCAACAGTTGCATCTGCTATTGGTGTTTCGTATCAGTCTTCTCTCTCCCTTTTCTCTGCTATCCAACAGAGCATGTATTTCACATTCTAGCCATCTACCTCTAAGCCATAAAACATACAACTTCAGCTCTAGCCTTTATGTCTCCTCTGGCATCAACTTTATATTCTCCTTAAATTAAGGCCCTTAGTCTATTTCTATGTTGTAAATTCTCTAACGTCAACTTTGTTCTCAACTGAGTTTTTTTTTTTTTTCAAATCACTCCTTTATTATGGCCCATCGTATGTCCATGAAAAATGGTGAACTGGTCCATGGGGTGAGAGCTCAGGCTCTACTCCACTACCATCCAGAGAATCTTTTATATTATGAGAACAGAGGGGGTAATTTTGGCAGTTCCAAAAGTTAACATCGTCCCAAAATAATGGGGAGGCAACGGGGAAGGTAAATCTAAAACTTAACATTTCCAGTGTTAAGAAGCATTTCCAATGAAATGTCACTTCACTGCTTTGAACAAAATAGTCTTTAAAAATAATCCAATCTAACCATGCTTAGGCTGCAGGCACAGTTCCATAATATGTTAGTAACTTCCCTCTAGGCTCTGTGTACGTAGTCAAAATGAGATGAGAAGGCTCTGTGCACGTAGTCAAAATGAGATGAGAAAGGGCCCGAATGAATTTTACCTAAAACAACCTTAACTGATGCAACCACTTGATTTATATTATGCTTCCTAATTTTAAAAAATTTAATTCAGAGAATTCAGGAAATAGGCAGGAACTAATGGGAATGTGGCATTATAGGTTTCCTGGATTAAAGGGATTTATTGTCACTCAAGAGAGGTATTGACTATGGAACAAAAATGGCCTGGTAAAGATTAAGTTGTTTAGATTTGAGATTGCCTAATCTGGATTTAACAAAGTGACTGTTTTTAAGAGAAATAAAATGAAAAAACAGACCAGTACACATCACTGAAAACTCTCTGGATGTTTTTCTGCTGTTTTGAGACCCATGACCTGGGTGTCCTTCTCCATGGTCACTTAGAAGCTTTGACCGAGTCACTGCTGAATGAGATCCCTTCCTGGGGGTGAGTTTTGTATTTCTATAAGGATCAGGACACACTACCAAACCCATGGTTCCTGGAGACAAACCATCCATTGTGTGAGGCAACGATTATTTTAAAAATCAGACATCTCTCATTCCAATATGCAGTCTTCACCTTTAGAATTTAATCAGTGCTTCTCAAACTATCTGTGAGGAAGGACCATTTTTAGATTAATGTCCAGTCTATTGTTACTGATACTTTTGCAAGATGTATCAGAGAGTAATCATTAGAAAATGAATTTTGTAAAACATACAAAATGTGAGCCCAGTTTATTACTGTTGTTATTAGAGTCGACAGACAAAATTATTCCATTGAAATTTTTTTTTTAAGTTTTCAACACTGACTGTCAACGTCAGCCCTTATCCTGTCACAGACCAGTAACTGCCATTAGACGGCAGGGGCCGGGGACCACACTTTGAGTAGCACTGATACGAAGCACCATGCACATACTTATTCAAAAGGTATACTTTACCTCTGACATCCTTCCCAAATCCTATAGAAGAAACTGTTTTGTCCACTTGTTCACAACTGTCTGGTTTCTCCTTCATAACGTCATCATCGCCAGAAGCATCCGCGGAATATTTTTTCTTTCTCTTTTTCTTGTGTCGAGGCGGAAGCTTTTTTGGAAAAGTAAACATTGGGAATATCACAAGAAACATTGCAATGGCACAAAGGAGGAATCCACTCCACCTAAAAAATTGGGAGATGTGAACAGCATTTGTGGCTTTTATATTATGAGTGAGAACAAGTTAGCAAAGTAGAAATGTGGGATGACAAATTTCTCCAGAGAATACTTTTTACCTTCATGAGGTGTACGGCACTAAGAAGTCAGACAACCTAACAAAATATAAGAATCCTCCCTTTCTGTGGTATAAATGAGAACTCTTCTCAGTAATCATATTAGTATTACAATGAATATCAGAATCACCAGCCTGACTAGAATTTCATTCAAGTATTTTTGAGCACACATGTGTTAGTTCTGCTAATGAACATTGTTAGTCCTACTACAATGTGCATTTTCTAATAAATCAATAGCCCATAAGGGCTTCCCAGGTGGCACAGTGATAAAGAATCCTCCTGCCAATGCAGGAGACACAAGTTCAACCCTTAGGTCATGAAGATTCCCCTGGAGGAGAAAATGGCAACCCACTCCAGTACTCTTGCCTGGAAAATGCCATGGACAGAGGAGCCTGATGGGCTTACAGTCCAGAAAGTCGAAAAGAAATGGACATGACTGAACACACACAGGGTGTGTGTGTGCATGTGTGTGTGTGTGTCAGAATTGAGTCAATACCCCATAAATTTAATAGAAAAATAATATAGAGTCTACATCATGCTTTATGGATCAATATAGACACTCTGAGATTTAAGGGACTAGATCTGATAGAGTACCTGAGGAACTATGGATGGAGAGTCGTGACACTGTACAGGAGACAGGAATCAAGACCATCCCCAAGAAAAAGAAATGCAAAAAAAAAAAAAAAAAGGCTGTCTGAGGAGGCCTTACAAATAGCTGTGAAAAGAAGGGAAGTGAAAAGCAAAGGAGAAAAGGAGAGATATACCCATTTGAATGCAGAGTTCCAAGGAATAGTAAGGAGAGATAAGATAATACTCCTAGAGGAGAACATAGGCAAAACACTCTCTGACATAAATCACAGCAGGATCCTCTATGACCCACATCCCAGAATATTGGAAATAAAAGCAAAAATAAACAAATGGGACCTAATGAAACTTAAAAGCTTTTGCACAACAAAGGAAACTATAAGCAAGGTGAAAAGACAGCCTTCAGAATGGGAGAAAATAATAGCAAACGAAGCAACAGACAAAGGATTAATCTCAAAAATATACAAGCAACTCCTGCAGCTCAATTCCAGAAAAATAAATGACCCAATCAAAAATGGGCCAAAGATCTAAACAGACATTTCTCCAAGGAAGACATACAGATGGCTAACAAACACATGAAAAGATGCTCAACATCACTCATTACCAGAGAAATGCAAATCAAAACCACAATGAGGTACCATTACACGCCAGTCAGGATGGCTGCTATCCAAAAGTCTACAAGTAATAAATGCTGGAGAGGGTGTGGAGAAAAGGGAACCCTCTTACACTGTTGGTGGGAATGCAAACTAGTACAGCCACTATGGAGAACAGTGTGGAGATTTCTTAAAAAACTGGAATAGAACTGCCATATGACCCAGCAATCCCACTTCTGGGCATACACACCAAGGAAACCAGATCTGAAAGAGACACGTGCACCCCAATGTCCATTGCAGCACTGTTTATAATAGCCAGGACATGGAAGCAACCTAGATGCCCATCCGCAGACAAATGGATAAGGAAGCTATGGTACATATACACAATGGAATATTACTCAGCCATTAAAAAGAATTCATCTGAATCAGTTCTAATGAGACGGATGAAACTGGAGCCCATTATACAGAGTGAAGTAAGCCAGAAAGATAAAGACCAGTACAATATACCATCGCATATATATGGAATTTAGAAAGATGGTAACGATAACCCTATATTCAAAACAGAAAAAGAGACACTGATGTACAGAACAGACTTTTGGACTCTGTGGGAGAAGGTGAGGGTGGGATGTTTCGAGAGAACAGCAGTGAAACATGTATATTATCTAGGGTGAAACAGATCACCAGCCCAGGTTGGATGCATCAGACAAGTGCTCAGGGCTAGTGCACTGGGAAGACCCAGAGGGATGGGGTGGGGAGGGAGGTGGGAGGGGGGATCAGGATGGGGAACACATGTAAATCCATGGCTGATTCATGTCAACGTATGGCAAAAACCACTACAATACTATAAAGTAATTAGGCTCCAAGCAATAAAAATAAATGGAAAAAAAATAAATAAAAATAAAATAAAACAAACAAAAAAAGGAAAGCCTTCCTCAGCGATCAATGCAAAGAAATAGAGGAAAACAATAGAATGGGAAAGACTAGAGATCTCTTCATGAAAATTAGAGATACCAAGGGAACATTTCATGCAAAGATGGGCTCAATAAAGGACAGAAATGGTAGGGACCTAACAGAAGCAGAAGATATTAACAAGAGGTGGCAAGAATACACAGAAGAACTGTACAAAAAAGATCTTCATGACCCAGATAATCACAATGGTGTGATCACTCACCTAGAGCCAGACATCCTGGAATGTGAAGTCAAGTGGGCCTTAGGAAACATCACTACAAACAAAGCTAGTGGAGGTGATGGAATACCAGTTGAGCTATTTGAAATCCTGAAAGATGACACTGTGAAAGTGCTGCACTCAATATGCCAGCAAACTTAGAAAACTCAGCAGTGGCCACAGGACTGGAAAAGGTCAGTTTTCATTCCAATCCCAAAGAAAGGCAATGCCAAAGAATGCTCAAATTACTGCACAATTGCACTCATCTCACACGCTAGTAAAGTAATGCGCAAAATTCTCCAAGCCAGGCTTCAAAATTCTCCAAGCCAGGCTTCAGCAATACTGTGAACTTCCAAAAGTGAACCGTAAACTTCCAGATGTTCAAGCTGGTTTTAGAAAAGGCAGAGGAACCAGAGCTCAAATTGCCAACAATTTGATGGATCATCAAAAAAGCAGGAGAGTTCCAGAAAAACAGCTATTTCTGCTTTATCAACTATGCCAAAGCCTTTGACTGTGTGGATCACAATAAACTGTGGAAAATTCTGAAGCAGATGGGAATACCAGACCACATGACCTGCCTCTTGAGAAACCTGTATGCAGGTCAGGAAGCAACAGTTAGAACTGGACATGGAACAACACACTGGTTCCAAATAGGAAAAAGAGTATGTCAAGGCTGTATATTGTCACCCTGCTTATTTACCTCATATGCAGAGTACATCATGAGAAACACTGGGCTGGATGATGCACAAGCTGGAATCAAGATTGCCAGGAGAAATATCAATAACCTCAGATATGCAGATGACACCACCCTTATGGCAGAGAGTGAAGAAGAACTGAAGAGCCTCTTGATGAACGTGAAAGAGGAGAGTAAAAAAGTTGGCTTAAAGCTCAACATTCAGAAAACAAAGATCATGGCATCTGGTCCCATCACTTCATGGCAGATAGATGGGCAAACAGTGGAAACAGTAGCTGATTTTACTTTTCTGGGCTCCAAAATCACTGCAGATGATGGATGCAGCCATGAAATTAAAAGACGCTTACTCCTTGAAAGGAAAGTTATGACCAACCTAGATAGCATATTAAAAAGCAGACATTACTTTGATAACAAAGGTCCATCTAGTCAAGGCTATGGTTTTTCCAGTGGTCATGTATGGATGTGAGAGTTGGACTATAAAGAAAGGTGAGCCCTGAAGAATTGATGCTTTTGAACTGTGGTGTTGGAGAAGCCTCTTGAGAGTCCCTTGGACTGCAAGGAGATCCATCCAGTCCATCCTAAAGGAGATCAGTCCTGGGTGTTCATTGGAAGGACTGATGTTGAAGCTGAAACTCCAATACTTTAGCCACCTCATGCAAAGAGCTGACTCATTAGAAAAGACCCTGATGCTGGGAAAGATTGAAGGCAGGAGGAGAAAGGGACAACAGAGGATGAGATGGTTGGATGGCTTCACCAATTCTATGGACATGGGTTTGGGTGGACTCTGGGAGTTGGTGATAGACAGGGAGGCCTGGCATGCTGTGGTTCATGGGGTCACAAAGAGTCAGACATGAATGAGCGACTGAACTGAACTGATAGATACTTTTTTTAAAGAAAAAAACCGAATACCTGGTGTGAAATGTTTTTCAAATTGCTGATGGCATTCAAATATTTTTCTGCAAGCAATTAAGAATATATTAACCCTTCTTAGCCAGGCTTCCCAAAACTTAATCAAGAATGAGTAGGGATAAAGGCATTTACACCTGGGGCCTTCCCCGGAGGTCCAGTGGTTAAGACTGTGTGCTCCCAGGTCAATCCCTGCTCAGGGATAAGATCCCACATGGTACTGGACTCATCATGTGGCCAGAAAAAAAAAAAGAGAGAGAGATACACTCTATCTTTGCATTCAAGAACTTACAACTTATTTGTAAAGAGCTAAAGATATGAGAAACAATTCCTAACAATCCCCCACAACACAAGAATGTACACAATTGTTAGATCACCTGGTATAGAAGGGCTTCCCTGGCGGCTCAGACAGTAAAGAATCAGCCTGCAATGCAGGAGACCCAGATTCGATCCCTGTGCTGGGAAGATCTTGAATGCTATAAAAATTCAGAAGGGAAATCAATGTCAGAAAGCTTCCTAGGAGAAGTGGAACTTGAGCTTCCATAGAATCGAGATTCTGTCTTTAAACTCATCTGAAGTTGCCATGCTGCCGAGACGAGGTAGCAAACACAGAGTAGACCTCAAATTCTAGCCCTGTTTAGAGCATGTGTTAAGGCTTGGGGCTTCTTGCCTGCATAATTCCCCAAGGGCAATTTTTCAGTCTCCTTTCAATCTTTTCTTAACAAAGAGAGGTCCCTAGTCTTGCCTAATAGGTCACAAATTGTCCAACCAGGATTCCTCAACTTCAAACTCTGTCCTCAAAACTTCTAAGTTCATAAACACTCATACTCTGGCCTCTGCAGCAACACGTTCCATCAGTTGTTATCAGAATGCAAATAGCATTTTAAGCCCTCATGTGGAATACAACCCAGTCAGCATATAGATCACTGCAAAGCAAAAATTCATTTGTAAAAAGTAAATGTTTCAGGACTTCTCTGCTGGTGCAGTGGTTAAGACTCTGCGCTTCCACTACAGGGGTCAGGAGTTCCATCCCTGGTCAGGGAACGAAGATGCCGCATGCTACTAGGTACAGCCAAAAAAAATTAATTAACATTTTTTCTAATTACTTAGAAAAGCAAGTGTTTCTATTAAAATGCTGTTATCATCTACTAAAGGTCATAGCTTAGCTGAGAGAATCATTCTTAGAACCAGTCATTAAAAATCCAGTGTGCTATTTTCAAAGATACTTAACGTTGTATCCAATTAAGATATTAAAACAATCAGAAAAGGATTTCATTGTGAGAAGCCGTCTCAAAGCAGGCTTCCAGCAATCTCAATGAGTCAAAATATAATCATGAACCCAGGGCCTAACACAGGTTAGGTACTCAAAACATTTCCTAAATAAATAACCTAAATAAATAAACCGACTGAACGAGGGTCGGTTTTTTTAAAAGAGAGTCATCTATCTGCAGGGAACATAGCTACGAAAATACCTGGCCCTTTTGTACTTGGCTGCATACAAGGTCTATCCTAACCCAGCCCTGCCTTTAACTTCCTTGAATTTCTTTCTGCAAACTCTGCATTCAAGTCCCCTGAATTTCTTAGCTCCCTGGACCTCCCACACTCTGTCCAGAAGAGGCTAGGCAGTGGAGTGTAAGGGGCTGTTCTTGAGCTATAGCTTCAGGTTTTTATACAGTCTTCACCACTTACTAGCCCTAAGATTCTGGAGAAATTAGCTTGCTTCTCTGAACAGGCTTTCTCATCTGAAAGGAAGGAAATAATAACTTTGGGGGGAATCATCAAAATTAAGAAAACAAAGTATGCTCCTGCTCAGTCATGTCCTACTTTCTGCAACCCCATGGACTGTAACCTGTCAGGCTCCTCTGTCCATGGGATTCTCCAGTCAAGAATACTGGAGTGGATAGCCATTTCCTTCTCCAGGGGATCTTCCCAACCCAGGGATCAAACCTGTGTCTCTTGCATCTCCTACATTGGTAGGCGGATTCTTGACCACTGAGCCCCACAGCCTGCCCCACACAAACAACAATAATTTCATGGTAGCTAGTATTGTTTTTTTATTTACATCTGTACTTAGGGCCCCACCTCCAGCCAAAGCCACTGACTTAAAATTATATGCAAACATTAAAGATACTCAAAGGACTCCTAAGGGAGAGTAAATAACAGAAGAAGGGGAAGAATTGCAGTAAATGAACAAAAATAATAAAAAAGGTTTAGGGACATTTCTAAGCAGAGCAAACTGGTCTCCAGTAACATCGAAATGAACATATGATAGTTGGTGCCAAAGAGGACTTTGAGAAAAGCTGGGTAAGGTAAGGAAGTGTGCATTATATATTAGAAAAGGATGCATCAGTAAAAGCCAGAATTGAAAAGCCAGGACCCCTTTCATGAGCCAATACCCAGAGACTCTTCATGAAGGGAGGACAGTTAAGTACATTGACTAAAATCTCCACTCTGGACTGTTTCTTATCCAGCTCTCACTGACTCTCAGACTTTAGGCAAGATGTTCAAATTGCCAACCATCAATTTCCTCATCTGCAAAATGGGCATACACTTAGTGATGACATGTGGTTGTTATAATGCTTCAGTGAAAATGTCGGTAAAGGTTTTAACACATAGTGAGCACCCAATTAATATTAGCATTATTCACTTACTCCTTCCTTCTCTCTTCCAGTGTATGTTTACCGAAAAACCTATCATTATTATTGCGCTGTTGTTTAGTTGCTAAGTCACGTCCGACTCTTTCACCACCCCATGAACTGTAGCCCTCCAGGCTCCTCTGTCCATGGGATTTCCCGGGCAAGAATACTGGAGTGGGTTGCCATTTCCTTCTTCAGGGGATCTTCCCAACCCAGGGGTCGAATCTGTGTCTCTTGTGTCTCCTGCACTGGCAGACAGGTACTTTACCAGCGTCACCTGGGAAGCCATCATCATCGGGCATCATAAAAGCTAATGTTGTATCAAATAACTCTGTCTCTGTTCAAGGTTAGAAGTCTGCTAAAAACAGGGCTACTCAACAGACAAAATTCAGTTTTAAAGAAAACCCTGGTATACATTTCTGTATGGACAACTTTTAACATTTGTAGAACTAATATTGAGCCATTAAAATGAATAAAACTACTTGAGCACAGATTAAAGTCAGAAGACTGAATAATAGCTAGCATACATTATGTAGGGAGAACTACTTAGAGCTCCACATACACAGACTCATTTATTCTTCACAACAACTGCATGAAGTAGGTACTGCAACTATTTCCATTTTGAGGATTAAAAAAAAAACTTGGGGCTCAGAGGAGTTAAGTAACTTCCCTAAGGTCGCACAGTTTTTAGGTGGCAGACCGGGATTTATATCCAAGAGTCTACACTTAGTTGCTTCACTTTGCTACCAACTGGGTTGATGCATATTGGAAAACAGCAAAAACAGCATAAAGCGCTTATAATCCTAAAGCACCTGCTTCCTTGCCTTCTCTCTGCCCCTGATGTTGCCCTCCTTGTCTTTCTCTCTCCCTCCAGCTATTCCCTTTTGCCATGCTCTTCTCATGACATCTATACAGAACACAGATTATACATGGGATGGTCGCAGATATATTTTAATAACCTAATTTGCTGAGAATTTTTTTTAAAATTTCTTCCTCTGGAAAAAAAAAATTCTTCCTCTGAATTATTTCAGAACTACAAAGAAGATAGTAAATGAGATCAAAAATTTTACTGTTGACCAAGAACATAAAATTCCTGTGTTATTCCCCTCCTGCTGACAAGGGAACTCCCTTTCGTATGATTTGAAAATTCTACCAGGACAGACTCATCTATTATAGATCTTAACATTTCCACCTTCAAAGACTATTTTCTTATGAAAATAACAAGTGTTCTATAATTTAATTAATATTTACTGTTTAGAAAATAGTGTTAAACATTATTACCACATAGCTCAAGTTATGACGTTATTATCATAAGAATTTCATTATAAAATGAAACACAGAGAGAACACAAGTAGTCTAAGAAACTCTTTAGGAAGGAATTACTCAACACTAGTTTCTAATAATGAAATTCTCTATTCTAAAACGAAAATATCTTATCAATGTATACCCAGTACCAAGCCATGTTAAATAAATTTGGGATGCCAATACTCTGAGTGCTTGCAATTGTGAAGAAATACCATGTTCAAGTTCAGAACTGGGAAGAATTCAAATGCAGCCCTTGGATATAGATGAATAAGTAACCTATCATCCAAAGTTGGGGTTCTCTTTCTAAACTCTAAACTTAGGGACTTCTCTGGTGGTCCAGTGGTTAAGACTCCCTGTGTCCACTACAGGAGTCAGGAGTTCAATCTCTACTTGTCGAGTAGCCAAAAAGAAAAAAGAAAAAAATATATTCTTGAACTGGATAAAAATGTAAAAAAAAACATACCAACTTTAAAAATATATATATAAATAAAATCTAAAGCTTACATATTTAGCAAGACAATTAAAGGCTATCAAGTGACCAAAAGGTGGGGGGGTGTATATGTACGGCTGATTCACTGTGCTGTACGGTAGAGACTAACTCAACACTGCAAAGCAACTCTATGCCAATAAAATTAATTTAAACAAAAAAGGCGTGCAAGCGAGAGAGTAATTAATCTTCAGCACATCCAGGGAAATGAACTATTCCTTAGGGGAAAGACTCACCAAGAGTGGAACCATGGAAACAGAGTTAGAGTTCGGGGCAATGGATGAGGACAAAGCAAAACACAAATACAATAAGTGGGGAGAAAATATCTTTTAAAAGGCCTAGAAAAGACAATGAAAGTTCTAATTCAAGTACACAGGGAAGTTCCAACACAGCCACATTCCCCTTTTCCTTCCCTCTGCTAGGAAGAAAACAGCCATCTTCATCCTAAAGAATGTGGACTAAGCTGTTGATCCCAACTCCTCTGTGTTGGTTTCCTATTGCTGTGATAACAAATCCCCACACACTGTGTGGCTTGAGACAACACAAATGCATCATCTGAGAGCTCTCCCAGTCAGGATCAAACCACGTCTCTTATGTCTCCTGCATTGGCAGGTGGGTTCTTCACCACTAGTACCACTGGGAAGCTGTAACCCCTGGAGGGCGGAAGTGTCAATAAAAGACGGGCATGGCTGCATTCCTTCTGGAGGTTCTACTGGGGAACCTACCTCCTTGATCTTTCGAACTTCTGCAATCGACCTGCATTCCTTGGCTTGTGGTCCTCTGATCACTGTCAAAGCATATCACTCCAACCTTTGCTTCAATCATCACAATTCCTTCTCTCACTCTGACCCTCCTGCCTCTCTCCTTCCCTTATAAAGACCCTTGTGATTATACTGGGCCCACTTGGATCATCCCAGATAATCTCCCCATCTGAAGTTCCTAAACTTCCATCAGCAAAAGTCCCCTTTGCCATGTAAAGGTAAATTCATAAATCTGAGAATTAGGACAAAGATATCTTTGGAGATTATTATCCTGGTTACCACCACCTTCTAGGTGACACTGAGCTATTTTTCATCTTCCCATTGGGGAAATTCTTATTTTAACTACAAGGGGACTATGACTCTAACTATAATAATACCAAGTGAAATGAAAGATGCAGTAAACAATTCTTACCAGTTCCCAATGAAACGAGGATCATCCTGGTTAAGGTGAACAGGATTTCTGGGATCAACATAAAAACCAATAAGAAGTCCACCTAGTAAATATCCCACTGCAGGACCGAGTGCTCCCATGACATACATGATGGCTGGGAAGACAGAAAGGGAAATGTGAAATATAACCTTGTGCTATTTCTTTCAGCAGTTGTCCAATTTCAGTCATACCATGTTTATGTCACAGTTAAATCCAGTTAACAATTTCCCAAAACAGAGAACTTTAGAGCATCTATGTTGACATTTGGGCTTTAAACTATGTCCTTTATTTAACTGTTGCCTGTCGTCCTCTTAGTACATCAGAACTTCTTTGGTTGCTTCTGAAAGTACAGACCTGGGCTAGTTATTGAGGTAGCTTACTGGATAACCAAGACAGGCTATCAAAGTAGTCTCAAGAAAAGAGTGGAAAAAGGAATGCCACTCATCCCAGCTAGAATATTCTAACGGGCTGAAGAACTAAAAACCAATTTTGCCATGAAGCTGGATTCAGTTGAACTGGTAAAGCTGCTTAATCAAGCACCCTCAAACCACTAATGTTTTCAAGTCACCACTTTATAATCAAAGAACGCCTCACAATGCATTTGGTTTATTGTTAATTGAGGAATCTTACCTAAAGGTTAATAAAGCTCCTTAAATGGCATGAGTGAGAAGGTCAGAAAGCACTAACCCACAGTTGAATTAGAAAAAATTTTAAAGCACATCTAAAGGGGGAGAAGAGGTTACTGTCAGTACATCAGAAACGTCATTCTGTCCAAAAACACATGGTCACCAAAATGGGCTAATAGCAAAATAATAATAATGAAAACAAATACATCGTCAAGTCTTTATACTGTTTCCACTGCTGTTATTGAAATTTTTAAAAAATAATATATTGCTGCAGACTTTCCTGGCAGTCGAGTGGTTAAAACTCCCAATGCAGGTGGTATGAGTTTGATCCCTGGTTGGAGAACTAAGATTTCACATGCCTCTCCCTGCAGCCAATACATCAATACATAAATGTTCAAAAATAAATAAATAATATATTGCCAGTTTAAAAATTTGAGATAGAATATGAAATTCCTTGAAAGTCACAGAAGAATCTAGCCACACTCCAAACATGTGTTTACCCTGTTGAAATCAGTTATTCGGGGACAAATCAATAAACACCTTTAAGATACTCCTGTGCACAAGGCAAGATCATAAACTCAGGTGACACATGCTTCTCCTTTCTGTTGCTATCATGCATTTTCACCAAAGAATAAATAAGTGATTTGTCATAGCCTTTAAATAGTCCCTATTTACCAGAAAGCAAATTTGAACTAATCAAAATCCTGACTTTATCAGCTGCACCTAAATAAGCATTGAATAATCTTATACTTCCTGTCACTCATAACTACAGATGGTAATTTAACACCTGCTCATACTTTTCTCACCATTTCAAAGGAGAAAAGCACAGTGTTTATGTATCTTACGGCATCATCTGCTTGCAACAATAAGACATTAGGCTCTTAGACTTCTCCATCTGTGTTTGGAAATGGAGAATGGAGGCACAGAGGAAAGTAATTGGCATTCTTTTGGAAGTATGCTTTTCATAAAATAAAATTAGAATTTTGATAAATATCTTGTTAACCTCTCTGTTTATAGCCTAAAACAGAACTCAAGAATAGCAAGTACGTTTTCTGATTCAGGTATTCCCATAAGCATATGAAGATTAAATTTATGTTTACACCTCCAGGCAAATCAGCGCCATTTACAACTCAAAACTGTAATGAGGACAAATTGTGACATGAATCATCTCCCTGAAATAGTTCTTCTGCCATGAAAGAGACTGTCTTACAAACACAGACGAGGGGAAAGGGTATTTCCGCCACACTGTTGATGCCTGGGGCACTTGCGTGCAGCATTTTGAAGTGCCAAGAAGCCATGTGCAGACTCTATGCTGGCAGGACCATTCGATCAGCAGTGAATGGAAAATCAATTAAATAATGTTCACCAAGAAACCCTAATTCTTTACGAAACATAGATCAAGATTTTTAAAATTCACCTATGGAATCAGAAAAATCCACTTTTATTATATAGTCAACAATGTTAAGTCCAATGGAATCACTCTCATTAATAGAAATACACATCAACACTAAGTGTAAATAGGTAACTAATGAGAATCTACTGTATAGCACAGGGAATTGTACTCAGTGCTCTGTGGTGACCCAGATGGGAAGGAAACCCCAAAACGAGGGGATATATGTACCATATAACTGATTCACTTCGTGTATAGTAGAAACTAACAACACTGTAAAGCAACTGCACTCCAATCAAAATTTTTAAAGAAAATAAAGCACTATTGAATTAAAAAAAGTAAATATGGAGATCCTTCAAAGAACTCTTATAATGCATTCAAATCATGATCTATTTTATTAAATTGCAATGTGCATATACTTTATATAAAAATTTGTGTATGATGAAACATGTCATTATTTTATAAATTGAAAAAAGACTGGAAAAAAACTCAGAATTACATATATATACTCCACATAAAACTCTATGACTATATTCTGCTTTACTACTGATACATATCTATAAATAACTATATGGTATACATAGATGTATCTTTTTATATATTTATAAATATATATCACTAAAAGTATATATGTACATATAACTTACTGACATGATCCCATTTAGTAAATAAATCATTCTCGCCATTCAGTAAGAGGTATGAAGCACATAACCCCAGGGTGTGCTCAGTCAGTCAGTTGTGTTCGACTCTTTACAGGCCCATGGACCATACCCCACCAGGCTTCTCTGTCCAGGTGGATTCTTTACCACTAGCACCACCTGGGAAGCCCCACCCCCAGTGTACTTTTCAGTAAAATACTGTGTACGTGGCCCATTAGTCTCTGTCTCACAGCTGGAATCTATATTAGTAAATCCTGCTGGTTCTACCATCAAATCAGTTCTAACATGCAGCTCCCTACCTCCACCCTGGTCCAAGCCGCCATCATCACTTACCTGGAAAATTGCTTCAGATACCAGACAACTAGGGACAGGCAGCGCCCACACCCCAGAGCCCTCTGAAATTATTCAGACTAGTCAATCCTACACCTGCTTACCTTGCCTAACTCATTCTTCTATGGGGAAACCAAAATCAAGGCTCTAGCTCACAATCCCTCCCTCTCTGTACCTGTAACTGACCCTGGTGCTTCCCCATGCGGTTCCTATGGCATCATGTGCACACCTTCTTTCTTTAAATGTTTACTTACTTGGCTGTGCTGGGTCTTAGCTGTGACATTCAGGATCTTTGATCTTCATTGCAGCACAATGAATCTTTAGTTGCAGCATTTGAACTCTTTGTTCCAGCATGCAAAATCTAGTTCCCCAACTAGGGATGGAACTCAGGACCTCTGCCTTGGGAAAGCAGAGTCTTAGCCACTGGACCACTAGAGAAGTCCCATGTGCACCCCTTCTTGGTAACTGTGAGTAGAAAATTATCTTCTCAATGGTAATTGTCTCCTAATCTACTGGACTCACTAAACCTCAAATTTTCCATTAAAACACTGTATTTTAGAACAATATGATGGCTCAAGAATGACTACGTCCCTTGCTCCCTATCCTATGCCTCTGGCTTCTCCTTGGTTTGGATCAGCTTCCTCCCTTTCTTACCAACAGGTAGAGTTTCCCCATCAGTTGTTCACTGGTCACGGACTTAGATACTGAACCACCTGAAGTCATGATACTGTTCCTCTCTTCTCTTACCATCTCTTCACTGCTCATCTACCGGTTCTGTCCTCACCTGACCCCTAACCTGTCTCCTATAGTTTGGATATTATTTCTCTCCTGACTCTGTCTTCATCTCATATTGCCCAGTTGTGCATTGATGTCTTCCAGCAACGGCCCCTCAGACTTGATCTGTCCCCAGAATCTCTGCTCACCTGGTGCTGGCTGCATGGTCACTCCCTAGTCCTTTTTTCCAGGACATGATATTTATTGCTTGACTTCCCTGGTGGGTCAGACTGTAAAGAATCCACCTGCAATGCAGAAGACCCAGGTTTGATCCCTGGAGGAAGGAATGGCTACCCATTCCAGTATTCCTGCCTGGAGAATTCCATAAGCAGAGGAGCCTGGAGGGCTACAGTCCATGGGGTCACAGGGAACGGGGCATAACTGAGCGACTAACACTCAACTATAGCTGTCTGGCCCTCATGTGCTTACACTCCCTATCGATCAAAGCCCGGCTCCTTCCCTCTGACCTCTGGAAGCCCCAGAAACGTCTGTCCTTGGATGTCACATCAACGATTACCTAGTGCTGCCACTGGAACAGGTGTGTATTACTGCTATGCCTCACTTCTTTATCTTTCCAACTAGGTTGGATGCCCCTCGAGGGAGTCAGCAAGAACTATGCATTTCTAAAATTTCTCCAAGACCTAAAACACAAAATAATTCACACAGGAAGCACTGAAGTCAGTCCAGTGGTGGGAACATGATCCTGGAGTTAAACTGCCTCAGATTAGACCTCTACTTTCCCCGTTTCTGTGCAAGAGCAAAAGTTATTTATTTATCCTCCACTTTCCTTGGGGGGGGGAGGGGGCAGAAAAAGATGTTAAATAAGATTATGCACATAAAGTGCACAGCATATAATGAAAGTGAAAGTGAAAGTCGTTCAGTCATGTATGACTCTTTGCAACCCCATGGACTAGTTCATGAATTACCTAGTCCAGAATTAACTAGTCCATTCTTTACCAGCTGAGCCACAAGGGAAGCCCAGGGCATATAATAAACATTGAAGAAATATTACATTGTATTTTTTGTGTGCTGAAAGATGACCTATTCATTCTCTAATAAATATTAATTTTGTATATATCAAACATACATTTTTTAACAGAAGGCATACTTAACCTTATAGTACCTTAAAAAAAGGACCTTTTCTGGAATCACTATCCCTTGTTGGACAGATGGGAGTGGGAAGAGGGAATATCTAGACCTCTCTTTCCTCACAGAAGGGCAGCAAAGAACTTCTGAAGCTGAGCACACATCTGTGCTGTGTTGTGCTTCGTTGCTCAGTCAGGTCCAACTCTTTGCAACCCCATGGACTATAGCCCGCCAGGTTCCTCTGTCCAGG